TTTTTTTTTTTTCTTAATTAAACAGAAAATTTACCTTTTCCGTAGAAAAGTGAAAGTGCAGTACTCTCTCTCATTGAATGGTTTAGTTTTATGCATATTTTGCCGCTGATTTACAAAAGTTAGTTCGTTTCAAGTATTTGTTAATGTTTATGGCATATGTAGATAATAATATTAAGTGCTTGGAATTCGCTGTCTAGCCAATGTTAGTATAATATGTACATATGTACATATGTACATATGTGTGTGAACAATAAGTATTTTAAAAATTAATTTCACTTATTTGATTAATTCGAGTAGAAAGTGGAAAGTAAATTCCGAAAATGTTTTCATCTCGCTTTTTTGAAATCGAAATTTAAAAAGTTTCCTTAATGTAATATAAATCGGTAATTCAATTTCCAAAGATACTCGTACTCCATATATGAAAGAAATGTATTTTCAGCAAACAAATCTCGCACGAGTACATACTGTTACAATATTAAAACTTAAATTTCTTTACAATTCATGAATCACATTTAAGAACGCATAACTATAGTATTATTGGTCTCCTCAATGACTAGTATCGAAGAATTGCTTATGACAAACAAATTTCGGCATAGAAGCGACACAGTTACTTTCTTATCGATAGTAAATAATGCTAAATTTTTTTTCAAAGTGTTATCATGTAAAGTTAAAAACTAATTTATCTTATCGCATTCCTAGGCTGAAAAGCTATACATATTATTTAAAAAAAAATATACAAAATATAGTAAAATGTTATAACTTATGACGCAATGAGCAGGGCCGTCGTAATATGCATAAAAAATTTATTTTAAGTGCTTAAAAAAGTTCGATGCGGATGATATTTTAATCCGCATACGCCAGCAGCATCTTGCTTTTGCTGTATATGGTACCGCTGCGATTTTTTTCCCAGCCATTGGCGCTGGATTTGGGATCCGACCAGAACTTAACTCGTAGTTGTGGTGACCGTAAATAATATATATTTCATATTAGCAATTTTTTTAAGACCATGGTTTCTGGCCAAAACGCTTTCCGTTTTTTTTTTTTTAGTTGTCGATATTGATTATAGTACATATTATTTTTTTAATTTACTTTAATAGAGATATTGCGACCAAGAGCAATTTTCCTTGTAACTTCTACAGCTAGGTCTTAAAATCAATTCTGCGCGTTAAATCATTCCGGCAGCCAAGCGATTCTCAAAGCACTTATTAGCAGCCGCAGATCTGTTGGTCATGTGTTCGAGTCCCCTCTATTTATATTATACCAATTATTTATTTCTATAAGCAATCCGACTTTCGGAAAAACTTGGTTTCATTAATACCCCAAAAAAAACTGAAAATTTCGTACAGTGTTATAGTCGTTATGGACATCTATAAACTCAAAAAATTAATTAACCTGAAATAAAAACGTGAAAAAAAACTAAATAGTTCTACCTACGTGCGATAGTATAAACTGGTATAGCCTGGACCAATATTGTCTGACACAAGCCCGATAAGAGAAACTAGTATGCGCTTCAAAAAATAACCATAGGGAGTCCAACTCCAGCTACGCAGTTCAGCATAGACTTAACTGGTTTCTCCTATCGGACGTAGTCCAGACCAGTGTGGTCCAGGCTATGCCGATTTATCATATCGCATGAAGTTAAAACAAGTTTAGCCTTGGCAACACTAATTTGTCTGAAAATCGGGTTTGGCCAGTAAAATATATATTAAACCCCTCCTAAACTTAAATTTGGAGCAGTTTACTTAACAGTCCGGGTTGTGCTGATATTTCTAAAATATCTATTACGAAATCTCCAAAATGCGGGAACCACAGAAATCTTGCAAAAATCTATCTGAAATATTCTACATATATATATATATTTTTTAATCCATATTATTTGCTTTCTTTTAATCGCTTCCTTACCACATTCTGAAAATACATTCCCATACCTTCCATTTTTTTTAGGCATCCTCACGCAGCAATTTCAAATCGAGTCCCGTGCCAAAAACCGGCAGCACGTCCGAATCGGAGGATGCTATTGTCACAGGTGTTGGCGATCGACACGAATCACCCCTTTCCGCCAGTCAATTGAGCGGTAGCGGTGGCGTTCTGGGTGGCGTAGGTAGCGGTAGTGTTAGTGCGATTTCCAGTAGTATTGGTCTCAGTCAAGCGCTTAGTATTAAACAAGAATTAATTGAAGCACAACAACAGCAACAACACCAACAGCAGCAACAGCTGCAGCAACAACAACGTGAGACTCATGTACCTATGCCAACTGAATACTTGCCGGTAAGTGAAATAATATGTGTGTACATATGTACTTACGTATGTATGTATGTATGTATGTGTGCATATACATAATTAAGTAAAAATCATACATATGTACATTCATTAGCATTTATGTTTAAAGTAAAGTTTTAAAGATACGTAGAAAAGTAATGAATTGTTTTTTTTTTTTTTTTATCTCACTTTTGTGTCTAATAGACTCTGTCTATTGTGGTCACCAGGGCAATGTTTATAAACATGTTGATGCTTTGCTAGCTTATTCTTTAAAACATGTGAAGGGACCCGCTTAAGCATTAGTCTTTTGAACTGATTGCGTTCGATCAAAAGTTAGTAAAAAATCATAAGAATACAAGACCATATGAGTCTAGAATGTTTGTGGTATTCTGTATTGGGTCATTCCATGTAACAGAGGAAAACGGCATAAATTTTAAAATACCTTAACTATCAACTTAACTGACAGAATGTTGCAATTTGAAATTGCATAATTGCGTTGGAGATCTTAGATTTCCTAGAGAAAATCACATGTTCTGTCTTATTAGGATTGACGACGATGTCGCTGTAAGGCGCTCAGATCTACATATATTACATGTGAGAGGACACAAATACGCGCTGTCCCATTCAACCGTGGCAATATAATTTATAAAGTTTTATATGTAGGTATGTCGGTATGTCGACCTGAGCACCGAAATAGACAACTTCTGTAAAACTTTGTGTGGAGTTTCTACCTTGCCCTTAAGTTCAAAAGGCAAGAGCGTCTGAATTCTTCAGAAGCCATAAGAATCAATAGGAAGCATACAAATTTTCCTTTTCAATGAGTTTAGTTTTTGTAACCATCAAATACGAACAAAAATAGAAAGATTGGTATAGTTTTTGCAAGATCATACTTTGCTAAAAGAACGACATAACTAAAAGGTTAGTTAAGTGAAGGCAGGTCATTCTTCTCTATTTATTGTGTAAATAATTCATAAGAAAATTTAGCTTTCTGGTCTTTGTTTTTGAGAAAACGTTCACTATTTGACCAAAGTAAGGAACCAAATAAGGGTAATAGTATACTGGATTCGAATTTTCCTCCATTCTCCATTTAGTTACAATTTATTTTTGTTAGAGAGAAAACCCCCAACCAGCAAGCAGCGATATGTAGTTTTATCTGCAAAGATTTGAAGTAATAGTTCTCAGAGCTTCATACTTGAGCAAGGATCCAGATTAAAATCTGAATTTTAAGCCTTTCTATCAACATGTTTATAAACATTTTTTAGATTAGCGTATGTTGCGTAGTTAGTAAATAGCTAAGGACCAATTTTTATATATATATATTAGTAAGCACTATGAATTGTTGAGGTTTTTTCTTTTGGACCGGTACGATGGTTCCAAATTCCGTTAATTACTTACTTACGTACACATACCTACATATTCGAATAAGTAAACCAAAATGTTCCTTTATTTTAGAAACACTAAGCGCTACGGTTCACTAACTTTAATGTGAAAAAAATTTTAATTTAACAAAGCAAATTGTTGAACAAAAATTATAAAACACAAAGAAAATGCTTCAAATAACGCCAGCAAAAGCTGTGCATTAAGCAACAGTATATAGCGCAACTTAAGAAAATGTGGAAATGTCCCATATCGCAAGGATGAAGGNTTGAAAATTATAAAACACAAAGAAAATGCTTCAAATAACGCCAGCAAAAGCTGTGCGTTAAGCAACAGTATTTAGCGCAACTTAAGAAAATGTGGAAATGTCCCATATCGCAAGGATGAAGGATTTACGTTGCTGTTTCATTGGAATAAAAAATTAGAAAATGCTACTTACTTATTATTTATTTACTTAAGTAGTCAAATTATACACGCTAACCCTTCTAGATACTTGCAATGCAAAATGCGCATCGGCCGAGAAAAAGAAAAAATCTGAACAACATTGCTTTTGTAAATGCTGCACTCACTTTTCCGCTAGCTCTCTAACGTGTTCTTCTTGCCTAATATGTTCCTTTCAAAGTCCTTTTTGTATGTGCTTCATTGTTTGCACCTTCCTTCATCAGCCAACCCACGAAACGCTCCCAGCACCCCAGCAATGCAATGCAATACACACACACACACACACGCACAAAAGCAAATGCGAAATCCTTCCTACTTTCCAATAAACCCATTTCTACCGCTTTTCTTAAGTTGTTATTGTTGCTTTCATTTTTTCGTTACAATTTTTTTTTGTTTATTTCCTTTTATCTTTAATTTTCTCGAAACTTACTTCGACGCCAATATCGCTCGGCCATAACGCACGCGACTTTATCACTGGCGCCACTCAACCCACATAACAACCTCTCACAAATACTCTTGTAAACCAACAATCGCGTCTTCTCCACAACTGCAGCAGGATAAGCGCGCGGCAAAGTATAGCAAGTCACCTGAACGCCAACGTCATGCGTCGTCTTCGATGTCGGCTACTTTAGCGCCGACGCAACAGCAACTGCAGCACGCCTGCCAACAATTTGAGTTCCTACAGCAGCAAGGTCAGCGCGAGCAACAACAAAACCTGTTGCTGCAACAGGCCGTGCAGGCGCAATTGAAGAGTCTGCAGCAACAACAACAACAACAGCAACGTGAAAAGCAGCAGCAACATAGCCAAAAACATCGAAGCGAAGAGAATTGGTTCACTGCGCAAACGCAGGGGTCGTCACTCACCTCCGCACAGCCGGCGCAACGACTTGCAGCCGATCTCGAGCTCGCTCAAACCACCGCTACTGCGACAGCGACCATTCAGCGCTTGTTGCAACAACAACAACAATATTTGCTTGCCGCCACAGATAATTTTCAGCGACCGCTTACGCCCACCGACGCCAATGCTGGCAAATACCAAGCGTACGATGCGACAGCCACCAAACAATTTAGTGCCGCCGCACTTGGAGGCGGAGCGCACGCTGGCGGCAATAGCAACGCCAGTGGTGGCAGCTTGCGCAAAAGTGGACGTTTCCGCTCAAATTGGCTCTTTCAATTCGATTGGTTGCAATACGATGAGGTGGCGAATACAATGTTTTGTAAATATTGTCGGAAATGGTCCAATGATATACCGGATATACGCACCTCCTTTGTGGAAGGCAACTCCAACTTTCGGCTGGAGATTGTCAATCATCACAATAAATGCAAATCGCATCGTCTGTGCTATGAGCGTGAACAGCTGGAGGTGGATAAATTGCAACCGCGTAGCAAGGAAAGCAGTGTGGGAAGTAATGCAGCAGCAGCAGCCGGTCAGAGTGGTGGTGGTGGTGGTGGTG